TACTCTTTTTTTGAAAATAAATTCTAAAATAAATTATTTCTCTTGACTAGCCCTATAGATCAAGGTGTAAAAATCTCTATTAAACTGAAATGATCAATCAAATTTTCACATCAAGTAAATATTATCCACTAAGATCATGAAGTAAAAATCTATAAAATCAAATCCATATTATCTATTATGTATCCAAGGAGTATTTCAATATTTTATGCTACTAAATTATTCTTTTAACTCAATAATAATCATCCTAATATCTTTTGATATCAATCAATTTAATTCATTTAATTTTCGTGCATGCAATATGATGTAATTTTTTTTTAAATTAGATAGTTTTGATAGTTCTGCTTTTTGTTTTCAGTTCTATTTTTAGCAGCAATGAATTTGTCAAAAATAAATCAAAACTATCCTCTTTATAGATATAATTTTGAATTCAACAAAATATTTCTAGGGGATTGAAATGTGAGAAAAGGGTCTTTAGAATTTTAATTTTTTGGGTTTTTTTGAAAATCTATAAATTATTTTTTGCTATTCCTAACAAAACACTAGAAAACAAATGCTATAGTTTTTCTGAATTTTATTTTTTTTCTAGTTGCTTTTATAAGTGATCATGAAAAAAAATGCAAGAAAAATGTTCTTAATCATCCTACAACATAAATTGAGACTTAATACTTAACCTCACAACTTAAAAATGGCATTGTCCTCAATGACATAGAAAAATCAGAACAAAATATGTAGAAAATATCATTTTCAAGTGAACCATGTATAAATGCAAAGTTAAACACTAAAAATGTTGTCATAAATGATAAAGCTCAAAAAGACATCACCTAAGCCTCATTTTTAATTTTCCACTTCATCTTACACTCCTGCATTTTTTTCTAAGGAAGAAAAAAAAAGAAAAAACATAAGTACAGAAATAAATACTACGAAATTCTAAAAAGAAAAAACTTAAGAAAAAATAGAATGAAATAAAAACCATGGGTTGCCTCCCATGCAGCACTAAAATTAATGTCTCTAGCTGAACACATTAATCTTACTCTTAAATTTTTTTTAATAATATATTTTTTCTGCAAGGCATTCATAATCTATGTAATGGTTAAGCCACTATCTATTTACCTTAAAGTTATGATCACTTTTAGGATCTTTAACACCCCCATGATCATATGTCTCTTCCACCACATGAGGTCCTATCTATTTTTCTTTTAATTTTTTTGGGAATAATTTCAGCCTAGAACTATATAACCACACTTTTTGGCCAACATCAATTTTTTTTTGCAAATGTATTTATCATGAAAGGTTTTAGTTTTTTCTTTATATTATTCTATGATTTTCATAAGCTTCATTCCTCAACTCCTCTAATTTATGTAGCTGAAAAATTCTATGTTCACTAGTTGATTTTTCATCCATACATAATTTTGTTATAGCCCATAATGTTTTATGTTTTATTTCTACAAGAAGATGACATGATTTTCCAAAAATGAGACAAAATGGGGATATACCTATGGAATTTTTATAAGTTGTTCTATAAGCCCATAATACATCTTGTAATTTCATTGGCCAGGTTTTTTATCTGGTCTAACTATTTTTCTCAAAATTCTCTAAAGTTTTCTATTTGCTACTTCAACTTGCCCATTTGTTTGGGGATGATATGAAGTGGCTATTCTATGGTGTACTTCATTCTTTTTCAATAGTTTCCTTAAATATTTATGTAAATTGTGTTCTTCCATCACTAATAATCACTCTAGGATATTCAAATATCAAATTTTGAATTTTAAATATTACTTGGGTCTTTTCATGAAAAATTATTCTTTTAATTAGGATTATAAGAATTAGAAGAAAACTCCCTATTTCTATTTGAACGTGGGCTACTTGTACTTGTTTTTACATAAGCTGAAATAATTTATCTAAATTATAGTATTGAAAATTAGAATGATCATTTTCACCATATGTAGGACAAGTATTATTTGAATTAAATTGAGAGTTTGGAGGCTTTCTAATATTATCAATAAAGAAATCAAGTTTTTCTAAACTTTGATTAATCTAAATAACATCATTTCTTAAATTAAAATAATCTTGATGATGTAATTCATAAATCCTCTCTTCTTATCCGTATTATATAACTCAAAAGAGGCTTGATCTCTAGAATTTTCACTTAAATTCTCGTAAAGGCTATAAATCTCACGAAGGATTTTCTTTATAAAAACTACTTCACATATAGAAGCAACTATATTTTATGTTATTTTAATAATCCATCATAAAAAAGAAATTTAATATTTTGAGTTACTACTTGGGTATAATATTGAATTTTCCATATATGTTTTCTCATATTTTGAGTTTTTTTAAGAGATAAATTTTTGAAGAAAGACCTATTTTATATCTTTTCAATTAGTTAATTCTCTATCTCATGCGAATAGCTAATAACTAACCTTGTCTCTAAGTGTATGAGAAAATAATTTCATCTTAATAACTTCTCGTATAACTTGAGAGAGATTAACTAAATCACAAACCACATGAATTTTTTTTAAATGTTGAGGAAATTCCTTTAAAGGTAATCTATGAAAATTAGAGAGCATTTAGAAAGTTTTTGAATTTATTTCGAATTTAACTATAGGTTCTAATGGGAGTCTAATTTTAGATGCTCATTGAAATGAATTAGATATATAATGATTTTTCATGGCCATAAGGTTGTTCTCAATTTGACCTAACTTCCTTTAGGATCCATCAAAATTAATTTTTCTTTCAAAATTTTAGTTTTAGATGAAATAGTGAAAGAATTTTTTAACCTTGGGTGTAAGGATCTTCTATTACATATAAAAATTAATAAATTCCAGAACTGTTTTTAATAACTATTGCCCTCCTTTAGTCTGCTTCAATCCTTGTCTTGCTACTTTTCATTCTCTTTTTTCTTTTTTTTAATTTTTCTACAAGAAAAAAAAACAAGAGTGAAATATTTTTAGTATACTCTAAGAGAATACTAATCACATAAACTTATATAATACATCCCAAACAATATCATCAAAATTTGATGTGACTTTTCTTTTGTTATATAATAAATCACATAAATTTAAAATTTATAAAACTAGAAAATACTAATTTTTGAATTTTTAAAAATATTTAAAAATAAATAAACAAATTATAATTCAATAAAAGGTTCTAAAAAATAGTGAGAAATTTCTAAGTTGAGCACAAGGATTAAGTTATGATTTTTAGAGTAAATAATGACTACAAAATATATTTAAAAATTAACTAAAAAGAGAAATAAGGGTGTAGATGTCAAGATGACATTAGTGCCTTGTGTAATACGATTTGGGTGAAAATAAGGTTCAACCCATTAATTCTTACATAAGCGATTACAAACAATTTAGTAGGTTAAATTAAGATTTTTTAAAAATCAAAAGAATCATAATTGAATGAAGAAGATATTAAAAACTTTAAATCATAAAAAATATTATTAAATTAAGTGAAAATTAAGTTTAAAGTAGAGAAGACTGAGTTCCAACCTCGCGATAACAATTGCTGAAATTTTGTATGTTCAAGAGGATCATCAACCAATGTCTATGGCCCCAAAAAAATCTCCTTGGACATAGATGACCTAGGCATTCACTAGATCTTCTTTCAAAGTTCAAAAAATGATAATAAAAGTTAAATTAGTGAAAAATGATAAAATAGAGTTCTAATGTCATAATAGTGATACGTCAACAATGGATCGAAATCCTGAGCTTTAGAAGGATTGTTGTGCAATGTTTATAATCTGAAAGGCTCTCCTTAGATAAGGACAACATGAACAATTTCTTAATCTTCTTACAAAATCTAGAAATCAATGAAGTGAGTCATTGAATCATCTTTAATGGGTGTCACCCAATGGAGCAAAAAAATGATGATTTTATAGCTCTCCAGCAGCTATCATTCAATGAAGATGAGTTGGATGAAGGTGCAACGTGTTTTAGGGAGCTTCACCTTGAAGTCCACACAACAAGAGGAGGCTCTTCTAAATATTTGGTATGCTCTCAAGAGGTGATGACTCATTTGCTAACAAATCATCTTCTTCTCAATGACGGCTTATTTGTTGATCAATCATAGATAATTTACTCATTGAATTTGTGATCTTTTTATCTAAAATCATTCAAAAATTTTAGTAACAATACTCCATAAATTTCATTAATAAGATTTTCGCTAATGATTGAGTAATTTTGACAACTTAATCTTTTACCAATAATTTGTAAGAAAATCATGATTTAATTAGATAAAAATATGAGTTTTGACCATAATAAGATTCAAACCCTCGTTGGTCACCCACTTATATAAGAAAGTAAAATAAGTATGCAAATATTCTTATAAAGTGACATTATATAAGTATATACTTGTAATAAGTAAGAGGTAATTTAGGTATTAAAAATCATAAATTTTTTTAGAGAAGTCGTGACTACCAACTTAGTCCTACATCAATTATATATTGAATTTTAAAATGAATATATAGTAATACGAGATTTAGTAATCAATGTGTCTTATTTTCACATGTACAACTACTCTTTACCCCACACCCAATTAGTCACTAGTGATGTAAAAGGAAAGTGATACACAAGTGTCTTATACTAGTTTATCTTTAGCCACTTGAGCCTTTACTCACGACTCTTCTCTACTATGTTTCTAACTTACTTGTGGGCCCAATTGGCCAGCAAGTTCCTTTATTTTTCTACCTTTTTATTTTATTTTATTTTTCTTAATTTATCTCAAAAAAATGATTATAAAATTTATATAAATTTATATAAAATCACATAATTAACCAAAAATTCAGATTAACTAACTAAAAATCATTTTTCATAATTTAGCACAAATATAAGTCTATTTATCATGATTTAAAGCTAAAATATTATTATTAATTAATTATTAACTCATGATAATGAAGATTTATCAATAGGCCAATGTTTAAGGTTAAATAGGTTGCTATAGTTCTACTGTTAAAGAGAGAACAAGTGAGAGAAACATAACATGAGCCATGCTTGTGGTCACAAAACCTTCTTGACTTTAAAGAACCCGCCCTTCTCCTCATTTGCCTTGGCCACATCATCAATAGATGCCACAGCTACCACAACTCCTTTATCTTTCACTACCTCAATGGCATCTGCAAACTCCCTAAAGTGCTTCATGCTGCAAGGTGAGACATCTAGTGAGATCCTAGTTCCCAAGGCAATGCCATTCCCTAGTTGGAGCCTAACTTACCTAGTTGACAAGATTTCTTCATGCCTAATCTGCCTCTCCTCCTCTGTGATGCCCAGCAAGTGCCTCATAAGACTGAAAACTCAAAGCATAATGTAATCATCATTAGACAAGCTGTGCATTTGATGCATGCAATAGAAAGATTTGAGAAGATAATGGCACTAATACTCATTGCTTCCCATGACAATTGCTGTCCACATGTGTAGAAATATGAGATTTTCAACCTACAAAACCAAAGATCACAACCACACCTAGATGGGCTGCTCATGTGATTTATCACATGGTTTAAACAGCTCGGTTTCTGGGCGATTATCATCCATTACTTTTCCGTCTATCTGAATCATATGATGTAGCCTACTATGTCACCTGAGAACTCATAACTAGTAGTGGCAAAGGGTTCTGTGTTTCTCAAGATAGGAGGACGACTCCAGTTATGAGATTGGCTGTTCATGCGATTTATCACATGGTTTAAGCAGCTCGGTTTCTAGGCGATTATCATCCAATAGTTTTCCGTCCATCTAAATCATATGATGTAGCCTATTACTCACTTGATAACTCATAACTGGCAGTGCAAAGGGTTTTGTGTTTTGCCTCTTATGAGATGCTTTCCCCTCTTGTTTAAACAATCTTGAGACTTTAAAGCCAGATAGGTGATAACTAAAGACTTCCATCAAGTGTGTGCAGAAGAAACTATCACCTGCTATAACCCTTGGCCTTAGGTAGCTGATATGGATCCACATCTCCAATGGCCTTGATGATTGCCTTGGTGAGAGTATTGTCATCCAGCTCTAGCTCACGGAGAAAATTTGCAGTTGCATCGTACACATCAACTGTCTTTAACAAGTTTAGATCACGTGAGGACATATCTGAGAAAACTCCTACAAAAAAAAAAACAATGGGAAATGAGGGGAAGATAACCTAATAAATTGAGTAAAGTAGAAAAGAAATTCATTTGCTTGCAAAGGAAAATGGCAATCACATACCAGAGTCAGTGTCAAGAGTAGAATAAGTGCTGTATGCACCCCCACTAACTTGGATACGATCCCACAACTAGGTGTTGTCAATGTACTTTGAAATGACATATGAATTGCCGTGGAGCTGATATCCAGCCTCATAAATGTTGGCAGCTTTTCCAACATAATTAACCTGAAAGTGCAGGAGGAAAAACATATCATATCTAATAAATTTTATCATGGGCACCGCTGAGATTTCGAAATGAATGGAACCTAAGTGGGAACAACGATGGCTTCCTTCATGGGTGAAAGAAGAGAACTCCAGGTGGTAGTCCCAGGGGATGGTACGCTTGGAATGGCATCAATGAACTCAGCAAGGTATTTGCTTGACTCTGTAAGTATCTTCCCATCTGCTGTCATATTGACTATGCAACCTTCCCTCGAGAGAAGACAACTACGTATCGCATCCAGTGAAGAAGAAATTGCGGGCCATTCTTTATCAACCCTCTTCTCAAGGTCTCGTAAGAACTCTAAATAACTAGGCAAATAAGAGGGGAAACATGGGGAAACATCATAAGCATCATTTCCAAGAAAATGATAGCCACATGCCAAGAAAATGGCTTTTCATTTCACCAACTAATCATCTTCTCAGATGTATGATCTCTAAGATAAAATGATTTAAAATAAATCACTTAATTTCATTAAAATATCAGTGAATACACTATTCTTTGCGGATTATACTTCTAAAGTCAGTCTACCTCTGCAGAGGGTAAGTCATAGCTCAAGGTTTCTCAACCCGAATGGACACATTTACAAATAGTGGTAGACAAATAATAAATTGATAAACAAAAGGAAGTATAGAGAGTTCTACAGCATGAGAGTACAGCAGCCTATATCTCGGCATATGTCAACATCCAATATGCCAAGCTTTTGTCTCAGAACAACTGTTGTGGAGGAAAATATCTTCTTTGTGTTACAAAACTATAATCAAAGGGAAACTAGCACCATTACACATGCATAGACATGATTGTAAAACCCAAGCAAAGATATAAGCTAACCTAATTTCACCCAGCTGCTCAGATATCCATCTCGCAGCATTCAACTTTGCATCCATCCTTGTAGCTGCAATTGCATCACCACTACCTCTTAGACAACTCTACAAATCCAAAAATTAGTTCTTGTAAGATATAATAGAAGTTGAGAAAGCTTCTGACTACCCAAAAGTATGTTAGAGATTACCTCCATTCCTGCTTTACTTTGGGAAACTAATTGCTCGAAACGCTGTTGGTCTGTGAACTGAACATCCTGTAGGATACATCTGATCTGCAAGATCCAAACAATACTGACATTTTAAGAAGATGGAAACTGTACAGTGGTGGTTTACATTCAAAATCAAAAGAGCATAAAATGACGAAACAAGTCAACACAGTTAATCATATCTTTAATTGAACTAAATTGAAAAGGATAGAGGTAAAACAACAGAGTCAGAAAATAATGGCCCAAAATCACTAGCACCAGATGCCTTCAAGAATCATCAAGCAATTTAACCCTTTCTAGATCATGAAAGTCCTACACATATTAGTGAGCAGGATCCACCACATATGATAGATAATAGTTCTTGTCATCTAGCAGCTGCCGGATGTCTATCTTGACAATAGTTTCCAGACCCACCTAGACAGAAACCTACCCAATTGTCCACAAATGATAGAAAAGGTCCTAAGAAGTGAAGCTTTTCAACAAATGATTTTTAACCTGAGCATCACAGCTTTTAGAGTAAACAGAAAAGATGGATCTTTTACAGTCCAAAGAGTTACACACGAAAAGTTAGACACATGAAAAGTCTCAACATGGGCATTTGGGCTGGCCAAATGAAATTTTATATTGATGTTTAAAGGATGGGCATCTCTTATTTTTGCAAATCATGAGAATGAAAACATCATTTTATAGATTGACAGGTATTTTAATTTACTTGTTAATCTGGAAAAGATAATCCCATAGGTTTGTTGCTATAGAAACGCCTAATTAGGTAAACTTCCTCAAGGTAAATTTATCAAGAGTAGACACCATGAAAGGGTATCGACTATGTTTCGATTGCTTAAATGAAATAATGTTCTCCATTTCTTCTATGAGTTCAAAATGTGGCAGGAAGATTTTAATTGAAATTTATCAAAACAAACCCATACTTGAAAAGTAGTTTCATAACTGCCATTTGTTTGAGGTCTCAGTAGGTGCTACAGCTACAAGTCTACGAACACCTTACAACATATTGTTTATTCCATTTTCTACACTTGTTAGGAGAATTAGCACACATTCTTATCAAAACAAGGTTATTTTCCTACAGAATGTTGAATGCATCCAAAGTGTTTTGAGGTGAAGCTCTCCTAATAGCAGCACATCTGATAAATCATCTTCCCACTAGAACCCTATATTTCCAAAGTCCTATGGAGAAGTTAGTTTCGTTTTCCCCCAAAATCATCTTCATTCCTCATTAAAGCCTCACATATTTGGGTATGTTTCATTTATCTAAGATCTCTCAAATGTGTTCATTACATATTCAACAACTCAAAAGGGTTATTGCTGTTATCATCCACTCACTTGAAAATTCTTTACAACTATGAATATTACCTTTCATAAATCTGAGTTTTATTTCCAAAAATATTCTCTAGAAATGTCTCTGTCATTTCCACCTTTAAGTGATCTCACTACATATGGAGTTTCTCCTCCTCTAGATAAAATCATTCTACTAAGTCATATATTTAATTAGAGTTCACCTTTACTTGGTCTCTTCTTGAAAATCTCAGATTTGGTCAAGTTTATTCTAGGACATGATACCTCCAAATTCTAGATCAACCTAAGAACCCAAACTTGTCTTAACCATATCTTTTTCTACAGAAAATACTAAGAGTGGCCAGTTCAATGACCTTTCTATTGCCCTTGAAAAACCCTCATAGGACTATACAAAACACCTATTATACCCTTCAACCAACTTTATTTCCTAACATAGCATTTCTCTCATTTATAGAACCTTGCTACCATGGATGGTATTACTATTCCAATTAATGTTTCAGAAGCTCTCTCCAAGAAAGAGTGGAACAAATCATAAATGATGAAATGGGTGATCTTAAGAAAAACAACATATGGGAACTTGTAAAATTGGATGTAAGTGAGTCTACTCTATAAAATGTAAAGCTGATGGATCAATAGAAAGGTACAAAGGCATACTTGTAGCTAAAGGATATGCACGAGTTTATGGAATAGACTACCATGAAACATTTTCTCATATGGCAAATATGAACATAATCAAAATTATTCTATCTTTGGTAGTTATTTTAGTTGGGATATCTAATAATATAATGTAAAGAATGCCTTTCTTCATGGGAATCTTACTGCTGAAGTGTATATGTATCATCCACCTAGTTATGAAGGACAATTATCACCTAACATTGTTTGCAGACTCAAGAAGTTGTTCTATGGATTGAAACAATCTCATGTGCATGGTTTAGGAGATTTTTTGCAGTCATACAGAAATTTGGTTATTGTCCTAGCAATGCTGATTATTCTTTATTTTTTAAACATATTTCACTACGGGGAGTTACTATACTTTTGGTTTATGTTGTTGATATCACAATTACAAGAAGTGATGCCATTGAACAAGAAAATTTGAGCAAATATCTTGCCATAGAGTTTGACATCAAAACGTTGGGTCGTCTTAAATATTTTATGGGCATTGAGGTGGCCCATTCTTCTAAGAGTATCTTCATTTCTCAATGAAAGTATATAGTAGTAAAGGATATTGAAAAGTTTACATGTAAATCAGCCAGCACTCCTCTTGATCCTAGCCACAAACTTTGTTTTGGCAAAGGGGAGAACTTATTGATCAAGAGATGTATCAACATCTCATTGGATAGTTAATATATCTCATACACACTATAGTTGACATTTCTTATGTAGTTAGCCTCCTAAGTCAATTCATGCGTCAACTAAATGAATTTCATCTTCATGCCACTTATCGGGTGCTACACTACTTGAAGGTAACTCTTGAAAAGGTATTTTCTTCAAATATGGTGGTAACATATCAACTGAGATAAATATAGATGCCAACTATGCTGGTTTTACCTTAGATCACCAATCAACTTTGAGTCTTCTGATGTTTCTAGGAGGAATTTAGTTACTTGGTGCAGCAAGAAACAAAATGTTGTTGCTCATTCAAGTGCAGAATTAGAATTCAAAGCACTTGTGCATCAAATATGTGAACTGCTTTGGGTGAAGATTTTACTCATTGACCTAAAGATTCCTCTTTTAGGTTCTATGAAGCTCTAATGTGAGAATAAATATGCAACCAACCTTGTGTATAATCCGATCCAACATGATCGCAAAAAGTATTTAGAGATCAATCGTCATCTTATTAAGGAAAAATTTGAGTTTACAATAATTTTTATTTCCTACATCTCCACTCAACATCAATTGACTGATTTACTGTTGATGGGTGTCTTTAGCACTCAACTACAACAAATGGTCCAAACTAGGAATGGATGATATCCACTCACCAACTTGAGGGGGAGTATTGAAATATTGTATTTGGCTGAGGGAGAGTATATCACATGCTTCACTTAACGAAATATGTGTATATCACATATTGTATTTGGTGTAAGGTTCTGTGTCTAGAACCTTCCCCATAGGTCTGTTACAAAAAATAGATCTCTTATCATGAAGTATAATATTTAGAAAACGATTTTCTTCCCTCATATTTGATAGAAGTTATGTTTTTCCTCCCTTCCATGAGAAGGTCTCTTGTTCACTCAAGACAAAAGAAACTGAAAGAAAATCCACAGTAATTATATAGATTTCATTAATTACATCAATAACTTGCAATAAGAAATTTAGTAATGATAAAGGAAAGAATTTAGTCCCAATAGAACCCAACAAAGGAAACTTCAGTTCAAGCACTCTCTACATCATGAACTTTGACTTTTCTACTTCAGAAAGTTTCCAAACTAGCCAACCAACATGCACAGAAATCCAGCATCCAAAATAACCAGGTGCCTAGATTCAACAGCAATGACAAAATATTAATGCCACCTTCAAACCCCATAGATCATTCCCTATCCTGTAACACCGTTCTACCCTCAAACATGCCTAAAAATTGGCAAACATTCTCTACTCACAATAGAGAAATTTCCTGAAAATAGAAATTAATGAGCAACCTCTGAAAAATCAATTAAGTAATTCACAATAAAGGAATGCTACAAGAAAATTATTAACAGCAAGTGTGATGAGGACATCGGGGTCAACCACGCAACAGTCAAGGTCTATACTATAAAAAAGCACATGGCTGGAGTTCGTGAATAAAATAAGAAGGATTTATTTTGCTACTCATTGGGTCCAAGTTTATGTTTGACTATTTCAGGTGTTTCTAGAGTTTTATAGTTAATCAAAGACCTGTGTGGATCCTAACCATTTTCACTATTTTTAAGGCCAAAATTTCAAACAATTAATTATGAGAACAGTTGGCATCTCGAGGACAGATTTAAGAGAGCCCTTTAAAGGCCTCATGTAACTCCTATAATTCAGAGGCTGAACTTGGTATTAAAAAAACAATCTTTTGAATGAAAATTTCATTCCTAGCTCTTTCTCCATGAGGAACCGCTCAGTTAATTTGCTATCAAACATCTTTTAGCACTGGTTTATACTTGTCTCTAAGTTCCATCTAGCCCTGCCTCCAAATCCCTTATTCTAGTCCAACCTTCACACATCTTAAACGATCACCTTTCTTGGAGAAAGTTTCCATGCTTCCTAGGATTAAAGTGTGGTTTTGAAACCAAGGCACCTAGCTGGAAACATAAACCTAGTGTAACTACTCAAAGAAGACATTTATTTAGGTGACGAATGTTCAGTTAAATTGACATTTCCTAGCTTTTGTGATTCTCCTATTTCCTGGCATGGGTACAGTTTGACAATCTAGACCTCGTCTGCCAGCATTAAAATAACTAATACTCATTACACCCCAACTACAATCAGCACCCCCTTGTGGTCTTTCCTCTAGCCACCCTTACAAAAAGTTTTCTTCCCATGTTCGGTAAGTGCCAGAGCTACTTGAGGAAATAAATTTCCAATGACCCAGATGTCTTAACCAAATTTTCTCCATCTTTGACATTGTTTCCATTATTCTGTGCAATCTTGCACGCCCTTGATACTAGAGAAGCCAAATGATTTTCAAAGGCCAATGAACTAGAGACAAATATAACAATAATATGTAATCGCATCCTATATATTATTCTATATTCCATAGATCTATAACAAATCAATGATTCGAATCATCTAAAAACACTGAATAAAAGATACCAAGCCATCCTTATTTAATCTATGCTTTTGAAGAGGGAATAACTTAAATGTAACAGGTCTTGGAGACCACTCTGAAAAAGAGCCAAAAAATAATAACAAACATTTGACTGGAAAACTACGACCAACATTAAATTTGATCAGTTTACCAGGAAAAATCAAAGCGACTTATTCCATAAAAGAAATGATTCTAGATCATAAAAGATCATTTAGAACGATTTTTTGGGTTTCTGCGGTTTTCCACTAATCTTTTCCTTACTACCACTCGTTTATCCTCATATTATGACACCAGGTTCCTACACCTATCTTGGTGTTTACAAGATAAACAACTGTGACAAAGATCATTTAGACAGTCATTACACACTAGAGATATGAAATTCATTCCTGTACTTTATAAAGTTAAAAAAAACCTGACAATAATAGAGAACAATATTAATAATTGTAACTAATACTAGGCTAAATAGATCCTCCACCCGTTCCCCCATCGCTTTACCATGGACAATGACATGAAAGCATGGATCTGCTTTCTCTCTCACAGATGATGTGAAAGGGTAAATTGATATGCCCCCAGTCTTTCTTCCAACAAGCTGGTTCAGCTGAACGAAGTCAAGATCTCTTGTTCCCATTTCAAGCAAAGATTGACTGGAAAACACCATTAAGCATCAAGCATTAAGTACAATGATATTTTGAGTACAAGATCAAAATTAATAGAATGATATTTTGAGAGTACAATGCAAATGGAAAACACTTGGAGTTTAACTCTTCTCGGAAAATAGTAGCATTAACTGAAACATTTCTCACCAAAATAATGGTATCAGTTGAAGAAGATCTTGCCTTAAATGGCACAAATCAAATACAACCTCTAAGTATAAAACATCATTTGTAAAAAGATCATGTTGCAAAACTTTCACTCCATTGACTTCTGCAATTTGGAGTCACCAAAAATGTGACAGCATGTTAATAACCCTAGTCAGAATCAAATCCTTGGTAATAGGAATGCATAAGCACGAGAAAGGAACTAAAAGTATTTATAACATCAACTCCAAAATCGTGACAATAAGTTCTGCATTATCATCTCCTATTTTCTCAAGAAGAGATGGACAAACATTTATTTACAATCATATCTTCAAGCACTAAGGTTGGAACCAGCAACTTTATTTTAGCTCAGTCGGAATTTGTACAAGTTTCCTGGGGATATCATCAAGAGAAAGATTGGGAACACATTTCAAAGCCTCTGGTGGGTCTGGTGTTTCCTGCCTCAAACGCAGCTCTCGAGTACCACATACAAGCTCCACAAGATCCTCTTGTGTCATACTTGATTTCACCTTTTCAAGGATTTGTCTTTCAACTGCCTTATCTTGAGATTCTTTATTAGGATCAGGCTGAGAAAGAAAAACATCTAAGAAGCATACAAACCAAACTGAGATGTTTATTCTTAAATTATTCATGAGTCTATATACCTGCATTTCAATTGTAACACAATGAGCGTTATTAAGGATCAATTTCTCTATTAATGGACAAAAGACAGCCTTAGAACCTTCTGCAACTATCTAGGCTTTCAAAGACTATAAGGGCTTCTCATATTTTAAAGGTTCAAAAGGATCCTTGTCATACATCCAATTTGCCTACAAAAAAAAATAACAAGATGAAATTTGAAGTAGAAGAATACGATTTATATTGCACATCATGCCTAAAGAGAATTTCTTACAATGGAACGAAGCATCAAAGATAGGCCTCGGGGGAATGACCCTGTATTATTTTCCAAATCTACAGCTTCAGAACCAAACCCTTCTGCTGCTAAATTTTTCAGTGTGCTCATGATTAGTTCCTCTACTTTTTGAACGTCATCCTCAGATACACCTTTCAACCTAGTGCTGAACTGAGGTTGAAGTAATTCATCTTCCACTCCATTGCCAACAATTGCATCTCTTAGTCTACTTTCAAGTAAGATCCTTCTAAGTGGAGAAGCTGGTGTTCCCAATAAAAGGTGATCCAGAAAGCAGAGTGCGAGTTCAGTTTCCAAATCTAATGTCTTAGTAGATAGCACCCAACTCAGGTAGACCATGTGTTTTTTTTATTGTCATCACCATCACTAACAGGATATTTCACTATTACCCTTACTGGCGTTAAAAAGAGCTTTTGAGGTTCAATTCTCGACTCATTAGAAACAGGGCTCTTATCATACTGATCAAGATAGGCTGCATAAGATAGAAAAAATATCAAGGCCGTCATTAGCTGCCAAAAATCTGTACATCAATCAATAAATGCTAGTGAGATAACTCCCATTACTAAGTATTCTACTGCCACAATTCTGGCATGGATTAAATTTATTTATTATCATCCAATAAATGCTCATCTAAGCATTAGAATATTCCCTTGCAATATAAGAATATTGTAGACACAAAACATCAGGATGATAGTACATGGAGAACACACCAACAAGTTAATCCTGGTTTTTTAGGACACTTCATGGCCTCTTGATCTGCTTTTCGTTTTCAGAATATGAAAATAAATGAATTGATACCTATAACTCAATATTTTCTCGTTATCAAAACATGCTCCATTTACAGAAAAAAATTGCGCTCATCATATAACTAATTTTGTGCCCACTAGCATAACTTTCATCTTCTAGATTTAAGGATGTTCCTATAGGACTCAATAAAATCTCTCTTCGGCTTTATCAAATTCAGTGGAGTGGTACACAGAGTGCCATCAATAAAAAGTGATTCTATATGTTTATCAATTTGTGTGTTAACCATCACAGAGAACTGACGTTAAACAAAGCCAAGATCAGTTCCTCCAGTTCGTATAAAGACAACCTAGAATATGAGAGATTGTATGAATCAAAGGAAAGCATTCGATTATATGAATCAACAAACCGATAGGACATACCACTCAAAATGCGAAAACATTCATTCGAATCATCATCTCCATAGAACCATATCTTTGCATTGCTTGGGTGGTAATATTTATGAGTCCTATACGACAGCAAAAGTTTTTGAGAGTGAGTAACCTTAGAATTCAACTTGGACATCATAATTTAGGCATCTGGAAATTTGCTTCAGGTCAGATCTAGTTAGTAAGATACATAAACCCGTGGAACCATTTAAACTCCTCAATCAGAAGTCATTTTCAAGTTGCAACTATAAAGTATTGATTAGCGGGAGTAAAATCACATATATCAGCAAACATTCAGCTACATTTCGACGGAGTGAGCAATAAACTCTTGAAACCAAATTTCTTCTAGTTGTCATGAGTAGCTCTGATTGTGAACATTTCTAGTTCCCAAACAATCAAACAACAATGTTGTACAGATATGCTAATTCAGCAAGCTCAAACAAACATCACCTGATGAGAAGAGAAAAAATAGAAGCAAGATTAAGAGAGTTGAGAGATTGATTAAGCTTCGTGCTCTCAAATGTCTTGGAAGTGAATTAAAAATGAAATGACCCAGGACAGGGTACGAATCTTGATTTAGGAAACCAATTTTGCAAAGTAATATAAGATCATGCAAAATAAGCATCCTCCCCTTGGAAACGCCTACCCATGTTTTTGTGATGTAATTGCTGCTGAGAAATTGTGGATTCTTCCTAAGACATACAAGCAATGCTGTGACTAAATAAACCAAGTGCAATGTCATCAACGTGGTCCATGAGTCAGCATCCAAGGCATGGTTATAGATCACGGATGGTGAAGAAGATATTTGTGCATAACTGACCGCCCAACCCAAGCTTGGCAGACAGAAGAACATTTTTGAAGAATGTTAGACCTTGTGGAAGGGAAAAAGGAACTTCTGTTCACAACATATGAGGGAAAAAAGAAATAACTTCAAGATTAGTTTACATTGAGACAAGGGTCTATTATTTATAATAGATCAATGAGAGAAGGTTCTAGACATAGAACCTCACATTCCCAGACACACAAGTGATGTTCATGTGCTTCTTTAAGTGAAGCATGTGATACACCTCACCCAACTGCTAACGCAGTATTTACACTATATTTCAACACTCCCCTTAAGCTGGTGAGTGGATATCATCTATTCCCGGATTGGAAAGCATTTGTTCTAGTTGAGTCTTAGAGACACCTTTTGTTAGCAAATCAAGTAGTTGATGTTGAGCAGAGATGTAGGGAATACATATTTCTTTAGACTCCAAGTTTTCTTTGGTAATGTGATGGTCTATCTCCACTTGCTTTGTGTGATCATGCTGAATGGGATTATGCACAAGATTAATTGTAGATTTATTGTCACAATAGAACTTCATAGGACAAGAAATAAGAATCTTTTAGGTTAATGAGTAAAATCTTCACCCAAAGTAGTTCACATATTCTATGTTCAAATGCCCTGAATGTTGATTCTGCACTAGAGCGAGCAACAACATTCTGTTTTTTTACTATTTCAAGTAATCAAATTTCTTCTTAGAAACATCATAAGACCTGAAGGTGACCGACAATTTAAAGGAGAACTAACATAGTTTGCATCAATATACACCTCAATTGTTAGGTTACCACCACATTTGAAGAGAATGCCTTTTCTAGGGGTTCCCTTTAAGTAGTGTAACACCTGATATACAACATGAAGATGAGATTTAGTTGACTTATGCATGAACTAACTTAAGAGACCAAGTACATAAGAGATCTCATGCCTAGTGTGTGTGAGATATAGCAATCGTCCAATAAGTTGTTGATACATTTTGCAATCAATATACTCCCCTTCACGAACACTAAGTTTGTGGTTAGGATTAAGGGGGGTGATAGCTGGTTTGCAGGCAGATTTTTCAGTATCTTTTAGAAGATCTGCCACATACTTTCGTTGAGAGATGAATATGCCCTTAGAAGAATGAGCCACCTCAATGCCTAGAAAATATTTAAAATAATCCAAAGTTTTGATATCAAATTTGTTGACAAGATACTTGCTCAAATTTCCTTGTTCAATGTCATTACTTTCAGTAATTATAATGTCGTCAACATACACTAGGAGTATAGAAACTCCCCCTGATGAAGTATGTTTGAAAAATAATGTGTGTGAAGAAAATCAAATTTTTGTATGATAGTAGAAAATCTCCCAAACCATGTGCATGGAGATTGTTTCAGTCTATAAAAAGACTTTCTTAGTCTGCAAATAATGTTAGAAGATAAATTTCCTCCATAACTAGGTGGATAATACATATATACTCCATTAATAAGGTCTCCATGAAGAAAGACATTTTTCACATTATATTGCTGGATATTCCAACTAAAAATAGCAGTCAATGGCAAAATAATTTTGACTATGTTCATTTTTGTCACAAGAGAAAAAATTTCATGGTATTCAATTCTATAAACTTGTGTATATCCTTTAGGTACGAGTATGGCCTTGTACCTTTCAACTGATCTATTAGGATTGTATTTTATAGAATAAATTCATTTACAGTCAACTGCCCATTTATCCTTAAGGCGAGGTACAAGCTCCCATGTATTGTTTCTTTCAAGAACATGCATCTCATCATCCATGACTTATTTTTACTCTTTCTTAGAGAGAGCTTCTAAAATATTAACTGAAATGGTAATATTATCGAAGGTAGCAAGGAAGGTTTTATAAAATGAAGAAACTTTATGATAAGAAATAAAGTTCACTGAAGGTTAAAATAGGTATTTTGTACAAGCTTGTGAAGATTTTCTGAGGGCAATAGGAAGGTCATTGGATTGGGGACATAGAATTTCCTGCAATGATAAATGTGGTTTCTTAGTCATTGGTTAAGGCTAGTTTGGAGTCTTGGGCTGATCCAGAATTTGAGGTCCTGGAACAAACTGACCAAATCTGATTTTTTTAGGAAGTGGATCAGGAAGAGATGGACTTTGGTCAGGCACATGAATTTGTAGAATAATTTGACCTAGAGGAGAAGAAACTCTTTCTGGAGAAAAATCAAGTAAAGGCAGAAATGGCAAATATGTGTCTTGAGAGGTTTTCTAGAAATAAAATATAGATTCATGAAAGGTAACATCCATCGTTGTAAGGAATTTTTGAGTTGGTGGATGACAACAGCAATACCCTTTTTAAGTTGTTAAATATTTAAAAAACATATATTTGAAGGATCTTAGATCTAATTTATCTTTAGTTGGATTATGATTATGAATGAATGAAACACATCTGAATATGCGAGGCTCTAATGAGATATGGAGATGATTAAGAGGGAAATAAGAAGCTAACTTCTCCATAGGACTTAAGAAATCTAAGGTTCTAGTGGGAAGATGATTTATTAGATGAGTTTTTGTTAAGAGAGGTTCACCCCAAAAAATTTTGGGTGCACTCGCTTGAAACAAGAGTGAACGTGCAATCTCCAAGAGGTGTCAATTTTTTCTTTCTGCCAATCCGTATTGCTGAGGAGTGTAGACACATGAAGACTCAAGTATGATACCCTTAGCTTGAAGAAAAGAATTCAGATCATTGCTAAAGTATTCCTTAGAATTATTTAACCTGAATTTCATTATAGGATTATCAAATTGGGTTTTAATAACTGCACAAAAACGTTTCAATACAATTGAAACTTGTGATTTCTGCTTAAGAAGAAAGACTCACATGCAATAGGTGCAATCATCTACAAAGGTAACAAACTATTTATTACTGACATGACTCAGTCGTTGTATATTAAATCACGCAAATATAAAATTTATAAAACTAGAAAATACAAATTTTTGGATATTTAGAAGTATTTCTAAATAAATATATCAATTATAATTCAATAAAAATTCAAAAAATAGCGGTAATTTTCCAGGTTGATCACAGGGATGTAATATAATATCTGGTAATTATTCAGAATTTTTCTCAATGAGTATGATTTTCTTACGAACTTTATACTAGGAAATAAAAAGGAAATATATTTAAAATTCACAAAAAAAAGGAAATAAGGGTGCAGATGTCAGGATGACGTCAGCGCCCGGCGAACGCGAATCAGGCGGAAATAGAGTTCCGCCCGGCAATTCTTACGTAGGCGATTACAGACGACTCAATTAATCAAATTAAGATATGTAAAAGACGGAAGAATCGTAATTGAACGAAGTATAGTTTGGTAAATTAAAATCAACAAAGTATCACTAAATGAAGCGTAAATTAAATTAAAAGTAGGAAAATAGAGTTCCGGCGTCGTGACGGCGATGCGTCGGCAATGCACTGGAATCCTGAGTGTTCGGGAGGATCGTCGTGCAGTGTCCACGGCCTCGAAGGCTCTCCTTGGACAAAGACGACGTGGGCAATCTCTAGATCTTCTCGCGAAGTCTAGAGATCAATGAAGTGGGTTGTCGAATCGTCTCCGGCGGCTGTCACCCGGCGGAGCAGAAAAATGGCGACTTTGCGGCTCTCCGACGACTATCACCCGACGGAGAGGAGCTGGATGGAGGTGGGGCGCATGTTAGGGAGCTTCATCCTCAGGTCCGCGCAGCAAGAGGAGGCTCTTCATCGCATCTGGTACGCTCTCAGGAGGTGGCGACTGGTCTCCCGGCGGATCGTCCTCTTCCCGACGACGGCTTGTTCGTCGATCAATCGGAGATGATTTACTCGATGGATTCGCGATCCTTTTATCGCGAATCGTTCAGCAATTTTAGTAGCAATGCTCCGCAAATCGCATTGACGAGATTTTCGCCAATGATCCAGTGATTCTCGTTGCTTAATCCTTCACCGACGATCTGCAGGAAAGTCACGATAATCAGATAAAAATATATGAATTTTGACTCTGGGAGGATTCGAACCCGTGCCGGTCGCCCCTGCCTCTTCTGAGGAAGGTGTGGGTTTAGTCCCACATCAGTTGTACGCCGAGTTTTAATGCGAATATATACTAATGTTAGCTTTGTGAGCAAAGTCCCTTCTCTCGCGTGTTCGACCACTCCTTGTGCCACAGCCGGCTGGCCACCGGTGACGTGGAAGGGGAGTGGCGTACGCGTGCCTGTCGGTCTCAAAGCCAAGCCGCTCGAGCCCTTGCTCGCGGCTTACTCCCCGACTGTGCTTCCGACCCGCTTGCGGGCACGGCTGGCCGGTGGGTCCCCTCATTTTTACAATATTTTTATTTTTATTTCTTGTTCTTCATTTATGTCAAAAGTAAGACTATAAAAATCGTATAAAATCACATAATTACCCAAAAATTCACGTTAATCAATTGAAAACCAAAAATCATTCTTTAACACAAATATAAGTCTATTTATCATGAGTTAAGGCTAAAACTATATTATTTACTAATTATTAACTCATGATAATGAAGACTTATCAGTTTCTATTCAACCAAATCCATGAAAGCAGTCTTAATGTCGATTTCACAAATGGTTTCAAGGGAGCTTGCTTGCTGACACACTCTACCAAGTATATTATCAGGTTCTAAATAAACCCCTTTCATTTCATTTAAAACCACACCTGAAATTTGAAGTAATAAACTTTATAAAATGTAAATATAGAGTAGAATCATCACTCGGGTATTGAGCATGTTCATTCACAGGACAACCTTCAATATGATAGAAGGGGGGACTATACTGTGCAGTAACAATTATATGCTACCTTTAAAGGATATCTCCTCAGAGGGATCATTAAGCTCATAATGCCATCCCTCTTGTTGAAATGTTTGAAAGTCCTCCACACATTTAGGAAAGAAGACAGCATCAAGGTACACATCAACTAAATTGTAGAAATTCTGGAGAAAATTTTTGAATCTAAGTGAAAGTACAGAAAAAGTCGAACCACACAACTGTAACAGAATTAGAGAAAAATATTGATAAGCACAATACCAGCATCCATATTCACCTTCAAATTTGTAGAAGCAACTAGAAAGCAAGTTCTGTCAGGATAGGTGAATGCATTCAAAAAAGTATGCAAGCTGCTTTTCAATAACTCAACAAAAGGCTCTTTCAAAGGGTACTTCTTTGAACCACACAATACACTATGTTCCAGAATGTGAGGTATCCCAGTAGAGTCCTTCCTAGATTAAGCATGATATACAAAGTTAATGCTGCATCCTACTAATCTGATTCGTGTAGGGAATCAAGATACTTTCAACACACGATTACAGTAGCAATGGAAAAGTTAACATGTTACATATCTGGTCACAAACAAAAGTTCACAAGTCTAACTTTCAGATATTAGAAGTTCATTACACATCAAGAGAATGAGAAAACATATATACCTGGTAATGCAGTAATCGAAATGTCAATACTACACATCAAAAATAAGTGCAGACAAATAGCCTCATCATTGGTCATCAATGAAGAAATGCTCTTTTTCCATGAAAATACCTTTTCTGTGAAATTTCTTGCGAGAAAGATGTAATTTTTTTAATTTTCAGGATGCTCACAAAACAGCCTAGTACAACATCTATGTAGTCTATAACACGAAATGCTCTGCTAAGCTAGTCATCCAATAGTCCCAAGATCCTAGAGGTTTTCCTTTCCACTCAACGAAGGGCCATCTCCAACTCTCTCCGTATTTTTCAATGGAAATAGAGAACTCTTTCTACTGAACAAGGCTGTCCTCTGAGTATCTGACAGCTCCAAACATTCACAATAGTCCAAAGGCCTGCATTCTTCAGGTGGCATTCTCTTCAAAAAGGGCTAGACTTTTTGGATCAATACTTTTTGGAGTGGCTTCTGTAGAGCTCATGAGAACATGTACTTAGATGACTAATGATCCAAAGGCTTCTATTAAGCATAGATAACAAGTTCTAGTCCTATCCCTAGAAAAAACTCACCCATCACTACCTATTGCCCAGTGCTTACATTTACAGTGACTGTAAGTGATGGAGCATAAGAAGGCCTCCTCTTTCCCATTTCGACCTCCACAAATGTATGTCACTGAAAATAATCTTTCTTCCACATTGAACGAGAACAGCTGGATTGGTAGAGAGGTAGACTTCCAACCCTCATTCTCAATTAGCCTCTCCATTTCAGGGGAAACACAAGTAATCTGTAATAGAAAAAAATAGATTTTAATGTAATAAAATTCATATCCATAAATTGATAGAGATGAGTGCTAACTAGAAACCCAAGTATTACAATAGAACGGTTCTATCTCAAGTTAATGATTTCATATTTATCAAGATAATTTATTTACAGTACTCTTTTCAATTTTTTAGTCTTTGTGCTGAATGTTATTTCTCTCTATATAGTTGGCAGAAACAACTTACCTTTCGTAGTGTTCCCTCCACTTATACTCACTTTTGATTCTAACAAAAATAATTAGAGCATTCTTGTTAGCCAGAGCTAATATTAAAAAAAACTCCATGTTAATAACCATTCAATAACCCTCAGATTCAAGGTTAGGCAAAAGTAAAGAACAATGTAGTATCAGTAATCAATGGTTCTATCATGTATGTATTTTTTAATGTTTTCATTGTTTGATGAATCTTCACTAATCTAACTTTTTTATGGTCCTAGATGTCAAATTAAATATGAGAATGAACATCAATCTCTGATATCAAACAAGGTGTAACTATCAACATCAACATCATGTCCTCCACAGACCTAACTGAAGATACATCACAGAAGGCAAGATCATGACTGCTGCTGATTGTCTCACAGTTTATTTTCAAGTGCAGGGCACTTTAGAGATTAATTTTGATAACTCTATCAAGAACATCTACTAAATGCCGTAGGAGAACAAAGAACATAAGGACACAGATAATGTATATTCATCTGAAATGATGATGCACTTCCGCTCAATCAAAATAGGAATCCATGTACTTTGTAGGCACATTGATCATAGAAAAAAAATGAGGTAGAACCTAAACTTAGACCATAGCAGACATTAATGTACATGACAAAATATTACATAAAAGAGGGGAAGGGGAGAAGAAAAAAAGAAAATCAGCAATCTAATCCTTACGGCGGAGTCTGGAAAACAATGCCAAAAACCTTGTTTTCATTGTCATTTGTTAATGACATAATTTCAGCACCTATTTTCAAGTGTTCATATAGAACTGCAGTTGACTTGCATTCATCTATGACTTCCTCTGATATCTTTTTAAACCCAAACTTCTGAGCAATACTATTGCTTTCAGCTGCACCTGCTAAGGAAAAGAAAATAAAGGTAGGTGTTAATGAAAGGAGCACTATGGTATCCAAAAATAAAACCTCAATTTTCACAAATAAAAGAAAAAAAAATCTTTCAAATAAAAGAAGCAGTGCACCATTTTCTCAAACCATAAAGAACACCACAGACATGTTCACCTCAGACCATCCACTCGCTGTTGATTTCAGACAATATAAAACTGTGCAAACACACTACCATGCCAAACACCCTTATATAGCACATCAACCAAGGGATCAAGTGGAACTTATAATACAAAAATCTAAGGGTTTCACAAGAATTTTTTCAACTTTCATCTGGCATCACATTATCATGGAGCCAGAATCATGAATGCTATCTGCTCTGATCATGTACGTTGCAATGGTCTAGATAAACACCAATACCCATACGTGGGAATGACTTCATCTGATCAGATTGAAGCCTCTAGCCTTGATGATTACAAGCTTGGTAGTAGAGAACTCTATTGATGTAACCTCAAGCATAACAATCAGGGACCTAAAATATAAGAACCTCGTAGCATGGTTCTTACAGTCTATCAGTGCTAGTGTGAGAAATGTGTAACTTCATCCAATGGTGCCTCTTGGAGTAGGCCAGTTGAGGCTAAGATGACGAACTTCAGACTGTGCGGATAAAGGGTAGACGAAGAGGAGAAGAATGGAGAGAAGAAAATACCAGGAACCGCCGTCCCACCGCTTGCCGTTGACCTGCTGCCATCGTCCGCTCGATCCATGAGACCGGCAGGGCAGGAGCTGTGCTATGCGGAGTCGCTTCTATGGAGATAATCACTACTTACAGTGACCGTCGCTGTCAAAACTATATTAGCTTCTAGCACCCGCTCTGATTCACCGGCAAATGTTGGCTTCCTCCCCTTGCTTGCCGGAATGGACTCCCCAAATGATTGCCTCCTACTGTTTGGCTCCAGCGCACCGCCAGACAGCACTGACCACAGCGTCCGGCAGAGCTGGGCCGACCCTCAAAGTCAGCAAACGATTTGTTCATATCTCTGGCCGCGTGCCGTGAGGTGGCTGACTCTGTCGCCGATTGCAGTAGTCGTCGGTAAAACAGCACGTTGCATTGACCAAGACAAGTTACTACTCCTTCAAAATACTTGTGAAGGATACTGGGAAAAGGCTACGAAATCCAAGAAGGTATTGTCGATAAAGTCAAAGAGAGAACTTTTCTCCACAGCTTCATGAACACCTTTCCATCTCCATCTCCATCCCCACCTCCAACACCGGTGACCCACAGCATGGCTTTCTCCGAGAAGTAGAGAAGAAAGGAAAGAAGAAAATACCAGGAACCGCCGCCGCAGCCGCCGTCCCACCTCTCGTCGTCGACCCGCCGCCATCATCCACTCGATCTATGCGACCAACAAGGCAAGAGCTGTGCTCTGAGGGAACGCTCCCGCGTTGGTTCTTCGTCTGATATTGACTTTCCTCCCCACGCTCGCCGGAATACACTGATCGTCCTGCATGGCAGTGCTGACTATCAAACTCAGCGTAACCTCAGCTTGCATCCAGTGAGTAATTCAACGGTCACGTGGTTTAAGTAGGAAAGTTGATAATCTGCCACGTCATTAATAATTATTTAACTGCTGAATAATATGCTTTTTTCAAGAAGGTCAACGTCATATGTCATTTAAGATGAGATTGGGCAGAAAAAAAAATCTCAAAACCTTTAAGAACACGTCTCAATGCGAGTTTGACTTTTATGAAGCGGTGCCATACTAAGTAACATTAGATAAAAATTATTGCCAGCCCAATATTTTAGAAATGATTTTTTCTAAATATAAAAAAAAGGTGGAGGACAACATGCACAAAGTCCTTTAAATATTTAAAAATAAATATAAATAGTGTCAAATGAGAGAAGATAAGTCATGAAAGAAGAAAAGGAAAACGTTGAATAGATGAGGCATAATATAATACATCATCTTTCAATCTACAACTAAAGATATAGAGAACATTTGAATCTATAATTATCACAATAATGCCTCTCAATCTACAAGGATCACAACGACTCCTTTGAATCTACCAAGCTGCGTAATTTGCCAAAGCCAAGTTAACACTCAAAGTCAATGCTTGATTGTATTCATTTATTCAGCTGTGCCCCCCAAAGGGTGTTGATTCATTGCCAATTGATGTAGTACTTGGTCCAATCCACACAACTAAGTCATTAAAAGGTGATGCCATCAGGTAGGAAAGTCAATAAAAGGCGATGTTAGTAACAATTTACTACTCTAATTAATGGCATTTGCACAGTATAATGGCATTAACTCTAATTAATCCAAAGTGGGGTATTAATTGATAAGCCAATGATATGCTATTTTCAAGAAAATCAAAGTCATAAAGCATGGAAGATGAGAACGGGGAGAACCTTTTTCCCCTAAATATTTTTAAAAACTCCTCATTTCAAGTATAACTTGTTTGAATAAGTGTGCTATTAAGCAATATTAGATAAAAATGACGCTACAATAAAGTTCTGAATGTTGAAAACCTAATAATTTAGAGTCTTTTTTCTATTATTAAAATTAATTTGAAGAAATAAATATATAAAGTTTTTTTTTATGTTTAAATATTAATTTAAATATTTGTGATAAATGGCATACATTATGTCATCAAGAAGAAAAATGAAACTTTGAATCTATGAGACATAATATAATAATATATCTTTGACCGTAAAATTAAAGATTAGGCAACCTTTGAATTGCGATTCAAACTATGTATTTCCTTTTGCTAAGTTCTTCATCGACACAAGAGCCCAGATATCCAATTATCGTTTCATTGAGAAGTATCATCCATCAACTTTGGACCCTCTATTCAAATATTTTATAAGTACAATCATCTTTGCATTCTCCCTATGCATGAAAATCTTCAATTGTCTTCTCCTAGAGCATTGATTGTGGAGGCACAATCTTTGAGGGTCCAAAAGATTGAACTTTTTCTCTCATATCTTTTTCAAATCGGATCTGAAATCTAAAAACATTAAAACTCTTTAAATTGCACCATAAATCTAAACGAAATGGATCTATTTAAAATAAGGTATGAATCTTAAATTGGCTGTTGTCTGTCTGCTTTGCTGTAGATCCCATTTCTTGGCCTAATAGCCTGTGAAATCATACAAACTAGCATCTCGCATGAACGCCAAGTGCTAATATATCATTTATCTCTTTGACGGGTGATTGTGAGAATGAAAACAAGAACGAGAACGAGAAATAGGTGGGGAAGATGGATGACTCACTTCATCTATGCCATTGATCTTGATAATCCCAAGAAAAAGAAGAGCACCATGAGCCACACAGCTGCCTGATCTCAAGGATAGAAGAAGATGAACAAGAAGAACGAGGATGAGAAGAGGAGCTAGGCGAATCATCCATTCGCATCGCTCTCATCTGATCAAACCTGAGAAGAAGAAGAAGAAGAAGAAGAAGAAGAAGATGATGATGAGCTCTATCACGTCGACGCACAGCATCTTTTCCGGCCTACTTGGTCCTACAAAGATGAACAAGAGGAGAGGTAGAACGGAACAAGAGGACTGACGAGAAGAAGAATGATCGAAAGAAAAACGAGGAGAAGAAGAACGATGAAAAGAAGAATGATGGAAAGTAGAATGATGGAAAGGATAACGACGGGAAGAAAAATAATGGAAAGGAAAACGACAGCAAGAAGAACAACAAAAGGAAGAACGATGAGCAGAAGAACCACGATCTTCCCTGCGCAGAAAGAGAGGAAAGGAAGAGGAAGAAAAGAGAAGAACCGATAAGATCATCAACGCCAATCACCTCTGATCACAAGGGAAGGAGCAGAAAAGAAAGAGAGGAAGAAGAATGTTAAGAGAAGAAGAAGAAGAAGAAGAAGAAGAACGTGAAGAGAAGAACAAAGCTAGAAGAAAAAAATAAACCATTCATGCCGAAATGATGGTGATCAAGGATGCCTACAAAACAAATATTCATAAATTGGATAACTTCGCTCCACTTTTCCTATTTAATTTTTTAAGTATTTAGGTTTCCTTAGAACCTGAAAAGCTTATCTGTTATTTCCACCTAGAACTGTGAAATCTTCAAGAGAGATGTAGAAAAGCGTTTGTCCTTTTGCCTCCTCTATTCGTGAATGTAGAACATGATTATAAGGTGGGATCCTTAGTTGCCTAGAGTTGCTAACTCCAGTGGGATGGTGGCTAAAGTTTCAATTGAGTGTGTAAAACATTAATGAATTAGTGGAACCAAAAGGCAGTTCATGGAGAGTGGATGCAAGTCAAGAGGACCAAACCACTATAAAAATTTGATGTGATCTTTAGTGACAATTATCGTGCAGAATAATATTGTCTATAAATTCAAGATTTGATGACAAATATGACATAATCAATTCATCCCCCTACTTTTGATAACAAGCTACCATTTAAATGCCAACAAAACATGATTCAATGTTGTGGTTCATTGTGTTTGATTACATTTAATACTTGGTATGACATAGAGATTCATCAGTCCACATGAGAGTAGTTGAGGTCTAATTTGAATTGCCTTTTGGAGAAACACTTTGGTTGACGATAGTTGTAAAATTTTCCATAAGGCTTCTTGAATCATTTATGTTCAACTAATGTACTAGTGAGAATTGCTTGAACTTAAAGTTTGATCCTTTAAGAGTGGAGTACCTCAAGTGAGCCAAACATTGATAAACTATTTCAAACCAACATTTGATAACCTATTTACAAGATTTATAAATGAATAATGAGGTATTGAAACAATATATTGGGAGTTTTATTGGTATTCACTTTGATAACATACACTTGAAAGTGTTGAGATATGACTTTGGTGTTGACAAATATATTGAAATTATGTTCAAAATGAACAATTGTATAAATAATACTGAGTTCCAAATTGAAATCTAAATCCTTTGATCTAGTTTGTTGTTATAGAAACATATTTTTCAGATCTATATTGAAGAAATCATATGTCACAAAGCATCATTAGAGATATCAACATTAAGATGACATGTGGTGCTGCCAATCAGCACATTTGATGTGTGGCATAGGTGGAATAAAGGGATAAGTGATATATTTGAATTTCTCAAGCAGTGTGTGACAAAATCAGATTTCTCAAGGGACATGTGACAACTATTTTAAGAAAACTCTAGTATGGAATAGTCCATAGTAATATAATGCGTGGCACCATTGATCAGTAAATATGACCCATGGTTTAGTCAAACCATTTAGTTGCAATCTCACTTTGGAAAAATCCAACAATGACAATGAATCTCTAATTGAGATAGTCAAATCCAACATAAAGTAGAAGAATCAATGATAGGACAATTGACATGTATTTCGCTAGGACAACATATTCTGACACATTAGAAGCCTAAGGACACCTTAGATGACCACAAACTAATAGTCAAACTATCAAGCTAGAATTATCTGACCATGCAACTTGTGAGTCAACCTATAGCTTGACTAGAATATCTCTAACCTAGTAGATCTTGCTCATTTAAAATCCGATTGTCAACTTTTTGAGGTATATAAAATGTCTCTTTGATGAGTTTAAATGACTACAAAACTTCTTGTCCCATCATGTGAAATCTTTTGCGAATTTAGACCTTCCTCCTCCACTTCACACTTGTTCGTCCAAAAGGTATCTTTCTTTAAAGCATGCAGAGAGAGATTGTCTAATTCTCGTTCTATATGTGAAAGCACTTGAGGGAATGATGGTAACATGGGTATAAAGATATCTGATGCCTTTGTGTCTAGCATGGGGAATAGATGTTAAATGTTTGTCATGTAAGAAAGGTCTAGTGATCTTGTGAATTTCAGCTATATTATGAGAGAAAGAATAATAGAACAAAGGTTCATACCATTGAAGAGTGAACATGGGCTGAGGAAAGACTAAACCACTATAAAGCATATCTACCATCATGGAAGAAACTATGCAAACCCACATAGATAATATGTTGACCCACTAGTCTAATATGTTGACCACAATAACTCAGATTTAGCAAAAGACCCTTAAACCTTAAATATCCTTAGAATATATATTTGTGAACTTAGTAGCCTATTAGGGACCCAAGAGAAAGATGTGATAATATTTTATACTATAGTGCTATTTTAGGAATAGTTAAAGTCTAGTTAACTTAGGATTACTCAGTGTGAATGGGATGATAAGAATAAATAGATGGTTCAATCCATCCAAGAATGATTGCTAGAAAAGAAACCCAATTTGAAGAATAGTTTACAAAGATTGTCTCCTTTTCATTTTAAAATTTATCTCTAAACTTTGATCAATAATTCCACAAAAATGGCAAAACGTTCTTTGGTAAAGGAAGCTACTATGAGTTTTACTAAATGATAAATTACTCTCTTCCC